TGTACCAAAAGTGAGGTGAACTGAAGTGACAGTTGTGTGAATGTTACTCTCATACCCACACAGTCCAATCACTCCCACCTTTCCCTCCTCCCTCTCTCCTCTCCTCCCCTCCCCTCCCCTCCTCTTCCTTAACACTCTCCTTCCTCCTCCTCCTCCTCCTCCTCTCCCCCTTCCTCCTGCCCCTCCTCCTCCTCCACCACCACCACCCCCATCATCACCTCACCCCGCTCACCCTTCACACCCTCCACATCCTCAACTTGCAGACATTGGTGGTGCACCACTGACCACAGTGGTGCAGCGTAACTTGCCACCAAATACGAGGGGCGAGACACCGACCACGACATCCCTGCTTCCAACCAAATGCAACAGTACCACCAACACTGTTTGTGTCTCCCACGCAACTCACTTGAGTACCATGATGAAGCACCAAAGCCAACGCTTCCACCTCCTCATGCAACACCACCCGCCGACGCCACCACCACCACCATACCAGCACTACTGTTGTGAGACCGTTCATCTACACTCACAGCGACAGCACCAGTGAACGAGGCACCAACAGCCACCTCTACAACGTGCCCTCATGTCCGTGGTGGACCATCAACCTCACATGCCCCACTGCCTCAATCAACCACGAGGTGACAGGCTATCACAACTGGGTGTAACATTTACACCGAAATGTGTCTATTCTACCACCCACCTTGGTGACGATTGGTGGTGTCACATGTACAGTGCGTTGGTGGTAAGCATTGACAGCAGTGGAGGTGGTGGGAAGGTGTGATGGAAGCGTTCTCATGGTGTAGAAAGGAAGGGGGAGGAGGTGGAGTAGGAGGAGTGGGAGGAGAAGTAGTAAAATGAGTGTATCATTGCGTAACTCATCACCAAAGAAAATGTGAATTAGAAACGCCTACGCATTATGCCATCACTTCAACTAGCTGAGAGCGTCCAAACGACTAGCTCTGTAATTAAGTAAAAATCTTGGCTCCCTCTCCTCCATTTTTGGTGTAGCTCGGATGACTTTTAGCTGTCGAAGAATGACATACCAATGCCTTTACCTGTAGTTAAGGCTGTGCCTAGGAAAGCTTTCCAATTAGCTTTAATGAGGGGCGCAGTATGATGATAATTGACGCTGGAGCCTCATTAATCATGAGGACTGATGTTGAATAAGATGATTCGGTCGATTACCAGAACACCTTTCAAATCTCCATAATATTTTAAGGCTATTGCTACAATTAAAGGGGATTTAGATGCAGTTTTGCTAACTTTCTACAATGCTAGGCTACCTCCAAAATTGTGCAGATACCCAGTGGCTTATCCTGGAAGAATTTTATTCTTGTCCCCTTCAGTCGGGTTTTGCTTTTTGTTTTCCCCTAAGCAAATTCAGTTCCGCTTGCTTTAGAGGCTGAAATAGAAACTTAATGTAAAATTGGCTACATAGCTATTTGAGGTGTTTAACAAATTGCGAGAGCAGATTTAACCCTTGAAAAGTGGTTATAACGCTTCGATTGTGACGAATTTTTAATATACAAGTGCTGTTCTGCAGTCAGGAGGACTTTTGTTGTCATGCGTAAAGAGCGTATATGAAGGGAGTCTCCTTGGACAGAGTCGAAAATACGACGACCATGTTAATGCGTTTTGTTTAGTGTTGGAAAACTTCTTTCCGCAGTCATGTCATTTGGGGCGATTGACGTGGCAAAACAGCTCAATAACCTCCCAATTCCAACCTTTCCTTATTGTTGAAGGACTGATAATTCGTTGTGATTACTGGTTTATGATGCAGCATTAGGAGGCCATGTCATAGTAACCGAATTCCAAACTGCTTGTTTTTAACCCCTTACGTTTGACCTTCACACATCTTCGTACCGAACTAATGTCATTCTGTCAAATTTAATTGATGAGGACGAAAATACGGTAATGCGTGAAACTAAAAGGAAGTGCCTTCTTTCGCATCAGCATCCGTAGAAGCAATCGAATTTAATTGACCGTTCTCGGGAAACGTAGTAAATTAAGGAAAAGTGCTACCCAGGCTTTCCTTCCTCATTATAAGGGGCTTTAAGGGATGATCATCTTGATATGAAGGACAGGGGAGTTGTGATTCAAAAATAGGACAGGCATAAAGGTGGGTAGGATTAAGCACTTTGTTTTTCAACTTGGGGCCAGCAAGTGCTCTGCTGCTATAACCGAAAATAATAGCAACTTCGAACTACTCTGGTCGCACATTGAGTTTTTTTAAATGAACCATTTTCATTCCTTCTGCATATCGGGAATGCATTATCTGATCCAGCTTAATATCATCTTTTGGCCTCAAGGCAATCATACAGTGGCACATTTTACAGCCACCCTTTTTACTCAACCCAGATACTTTCCACTCCAGGAATTTTCCTGTTTTTTACCGTAAAATTTCCAAAAGTGATTACCTTCGTCATACAATGCTTTGTAATCATCGTTCTCGGTCTTCTACCCGCCCACGCAGTAGGAAAAAAAGCAGCGTATCGAGTAAATTGTCACAACATGGTATTTGGGTAGCATTTACATTGCGTCACATATTTCTGTTAGTTTCCGTTGCCAACTGACTGCTGTTTATAGGTCTTGGGAATTTTCATGTAAACCATGCATTACTCGAAGACATACCGCGAGTAGGAACCGGTAGATAGGGTGAAAGTACACAGTGACCAGATAACCATAGTAACACAGGGCAAAGTCCTTTACGATCTCAATGTTAGCCTCTCCAGAGAGTGAAGGCGTGAGATACTATTCGCCTATTACTTCTACTGAGTGGCTAGTCAGATCAACAAAATAAGTAATTAATATACCGATGGATACTTTAACATTGACTCCATGCTGCGAAGTTGAGGACGCTTCCTGAGACTCAACTTTATTCCTAGGTGTCCGATCGAGGTGGGTAGTGAGAGTGGAAAGACGATGAACCAGATAGATAAGACTATAAGGGTTCTCACTTCGCCTATTAAAATGCTAATTGTGGTGATGAAGAGGAGGAGAACAGTGTGGTTTCTGTGTCCACATCCACGCCTACGCAGGGCATTAACTCTGGGAGTAACCCAGTTACAAGCATGTTTATTTACGAAGGCGGAACACCTACTTCGGGGAGGGGGGAAAGGAGGATGGTGTGCTATTTACTACTACCTCAGCCGCTATGACACGGCACTCCTAAACAAACAAAAGCCCCGTTAATGATTAAGCACACGGTAAACATTATGCTTGCTCTTGCTGCAACGAAAATTGCATTGGTGAACGGACTAAGTGATTGGGCTAGGCTAAATGCAGCAGACAACACAGCCAGCACAGCCGTTGGAATACACCACTAGGCCTCTAGCCATTTTTACTCTAATAAAATGCATACCATCGTAGTGATAGTCTAATCTTTGAGAAGCCTTGAGGAGCTGAACAAAGCGTTCTCAATTACAGCCATTTCACTGGTTCCAAGATGATGGTCTCCCAAAAATGGCATTAGAGTGATCAGTGGAACGATCAAATAAGGCAAATCAATAAAAAGTGTCAAAATTCTCGCCACATGTTTGCTGCATTACTAACTTTTCACATAGCTCTGGTTGTGAAGGTCTTTGTGCAGGTTAATGGACCAAGTTACAATCCTTTTAATGCAATCTCACCTTTTATGACCAACGCAGTACAAATGCACAAAAATGCATCGCCTACGCAAAAATTTACGCATTTAGATGTGGTTTTTCTCTGCCAAATGAGAGAAACCTCGACATACCTTTTTTGCATTCCATTGAGCCGCCCTTTATTGTTTACACTTCCAAAGGAGGGGCGATTTGCATAACTGATGGGGTTAGGCTCACTAAACTTTAGAAGAACTTTCCTAGTTGTCAAAATACCACTGTGAAAATAAAGAAATAACAAATTAAAATTTTAATTAGAAGTTTTGTGAACTTCAAAGCGTTTGATACACAAATTACTAAAACTACAAAATATGGTACCCCAAGAGCACTTAACACTTTTTCCTCTTCAGTACAATTATTTCACCATTTTGAGAGAATCTCAATCCCAACTCTGTAGAATAAATGACCTTCAAACTTCAGAAAGACATTCCGGAATGTCCTTCAAGAGCATATTTTTTGCCTATTAAAGTTACATCATATGCTGACACAGTGAGGAGGTCTAATTACGCAATGATTTGTCATTCCTCAGGTGGTATGAGGCGAGGTGCAAAAGTTTCTGGCGGTTGCATGGGTGTACTTAATGAGGATCAAATCCGGTCTCTATATGACGCTTAATTTACTGGGAACCACTCCGCTTCAAAATGATGAGTTAATGATCAAAGCTTTTGATTTTTGGGTTTTGAGCCGTAAGCAGCAGTAGGGATGTTTACTGTCCTCGCGAGTGTCTCACTGGTATTGTATTGAAGCACTGCAGAAATCTCATGGGAACTCGGTGATGTTGTTTGAAATGGGTCAAATGCACCTATCAAACTGACATAATTGTTTGAATGGACGAGTGGGGAAGGCGGTCACTTATCACAGGGGCCATTAAACGATCTTCCAGATTGCATTTTCTTTTTCATTCACATTTTATTTTGTACTTAGACACATTGTAGTCGCAACAGGAACAATATGGATCATTGAAGGGTTCTTTGATGGAGGTAATGCTTACCAAAACAAATCATTTGCTCTGGCAGTAGGAAAGGTGGACCATTCAAATTTGTCAAAGACACTGCCTCCACATCAAGCGCCCCAATGAATTTTTCGACTATTACTTTAAATGTCAAAGGCGGAAAAGCGGAGAGGAAGGGTGGTAAGTGAAGGTAAGATGTAGTGGTGACAAGGCTGTTGACAATCTACGCATTAAAGGTCACCTTTAAAATTTATCTACGGTGGAGGAAGTTGAAAGCATTTTGGGATTACCATACGCCCTTCACGAATTCTCACTCAGAGCCATTTGGAGGCTGGAGAAACACAAATAATGACATCAAAGTTTGCATGTAATGGAACTTCGTTTGCATAGGAGGTTTGCTTCAACCATATAAAATCTATTCATGAAAGCATCAGGGTAGGATAAGTTGCTCGATCTTTCCGACCTGTCATATTAGTAAATTGTATTTATCCAAAATCAAAATACGACTGTGGTGGTGCAACCAAATAAGATTTGAGGCGCTTGGACAAACCAGTCAGTAAGTGCCTGCCAACTTTAGCCTCGTCTGTTGACGTCAACTGCTGTCCAAGGGCTCCATCTCAGATGACTGATGCAGCGTGATACAAGCAGATATTTACTTGCGAAATTGCCCCTCCTGTTGGGCTTTGATGATAAGCTGAATAACTTTAGTTGGTGTGGTATTTTTTTGAAACAGTTCATTTGCCACATTCTGGAATGCGCATATTACCCGACCAACCCAATCCATTCTGAGCAAAATGAGACCCTAACAACACCTAAACTACAAAGTCAACCGATCGTATCCATCACTTCTGTGAAGCTACAAATAGCTCTAAATACCGTCAGACCCTGAAACATCTCACATCTGCTTCATCTCTCAACAATTTGCAGTTTTGTTTTAAAATAATTTTGCAAATCGATTAACAAGTTCATGGAGAACTCAAACGAGGAGGTCAGAGTGTTCCACTTATGTGAAGGTAGAAGAAGACTCGCTGAGACGTTGCAAATGGCATATGATTGTAGTTCTCAATTGTACTTTCGTTTCTCTAGCTACGATTTGCTTCAAAATGTGTTTAAAACGATCAAATTGCCTTCCTTAAAACACGCTCTTATAGGGGTTCGACTGTGCGCTAAAAATCTCTCGATAAACGTGTTCATTACTTTTACTTACTACGATGAGAGAGCTAAAAATGAAGCTTGTCGCCTTCTTATGTGAATGTTGAAACCCATTTTTCAAACAGCAGGCAATAAACCGGTGAGTAATTCCTATGATTAAAAGACAGGTCCCAAGGTTGAGGCTTTCACGCTTCTGAAATAAGGCACATAGAACCCCAATTGCACCGAAACAAATATTACACTGGTCGAATTGGGGACCAAAATGGATGCAATGTAAAAGAATTAGTAAGACTTAACAGGATGATTCCACGGAGATAACGCTTGGTATGACGTTAACTTTCTGTCATCCTAAAATTTATTATAACATGCAATGTTAAATTTTTTTTTAATAAATGGATGGGTGAGTGATTTTAATCCTTTCTGAATTCGCAGCTTCAAAGTCGTGATCATATTCTCACAGAGGTTCCAGGTGCTAATAATTCATCTTTTCCTCACAACATTAGGGAAGACACTGAGTGGAACCTTATCTATAATTCAAATAAAGTTATGGAAATATGTCCGCCGTCTCAAATTAGTCATCGATAGCTCTGATTAGGCTTGCTTCTCTAACATTTGAGCACTCAAGTTATTTTTTTTTGGAAGTAAGGTAAAAGGTTCGACTTTCAAAACATTTGGTGTATTGTCTGAATTCCAGATTGCCTGGCATGAACACAATGACCGAAATCACCCCAAAAATAAAAAATTAAATAATGCGGTTTAATTAGTAAAAAGGGAAATAAAAAGTGCAAAAGATTTACATTTATAAACATTTACTTAGATTTAAGGGACAAAATAGGAACTCAGAGACAAAAGGCAAAGATTTTTAATAATATCATAAAAAATGACAAATAGGGAATACGTGGTTGCCTTGAAATTGCAATTTCATATTCGTGAGCTAAAACCAAAATTTTAGCACGAAGGAAACCTATTTATGAATGGATTTTAAAAATTAGGTGAAGACTGTTGCTGAGAGTCAAGAGTTGGTGGTGCTACAGGCTTTACAGAGTTTGACTCAGTTAAAAGGTTAGTCATTTGTACGCTCTCAGCTATTTGAAGTGATGGCATAATGCGTAGGCGTTTCTAATTCACATTTTCTTTGGTGATGAGTTACGCAATGATACACTCATTTTACTACTTCTCCTCCCACTCCTCCTCCTCCCCCTCCTCCTCCCCCTTCCTTTCTACACCATGAGAACACTTCCATCACACCTTCCCACCACCTCCACTGCTGTCAATGCTTACCACCAACGCACTGTACATGTGACACCACCAATCGTCACCAAGGTGGGTGGTAGAATAGACACATTTCGGTGTAAGTGTTACACCCAGTTGTGATGGCCTGTCACCTCGTGGTTGATTGAGGCAGTGAGGAATGTGAGGTTGATGGTCCACCACGGACATAAGGGCACGTTGTAGAGGTGGCTGTTGGTACCTCGTACACTGGTGCTGTCGCTGTGCATGTAGATGAACGGTCTCACAACAGTAGTGCTGGTATGGTGGCGGTGGTGGCGTCTGCGGGTAGTGTTGCATGAGGAGGTGGAAGCGTTGGCTTTGGTACTTCATCATGGCACTCAAGTGAGTTGCGTGGGAGACACAAACAGTGTTGGTC